GAAGAGGAGACCAACAAATACCCTCACGGGACCGGCCCACGCTCATCCTCTCCACCAGGCGGCAGTGGCGCCACTCGCCCCTGCTCCCCCCAGTCGCCCACCGACAGCACGAACTCCCTCAACCTCATTTGGGCCAGCACCCAACAAGTTGGATTCCCGTCAGATGGGGGCAGGAAAGCCGATGGGTCGGAGAGCCCCCGCCAACGGCACAGCCCCGCACGCAGCATTCACGCTCTCGGAAGCCAGGAACGCGCTCGAATGTGTGGATGGCAGACACATGTTCGGGAGCGGAGCAGAAGCACCGAACACGAAGAATCAGCGGGGGAGGAAGAGGGACGAGGAGGAGGGAGGAAGGAGCAGCAGCAGCAGCAGCGGGAGGGGAGGAGGAGGAAGGGGAGAACGAAGAGGGAGAGTAGGAGGGAGAGGAGGAGGAGGAGGCGGAGGAGGAGGAGGAGGAGGAGGAGGAGCAGAGGAGGAGGAAGGGGAGAGGGAGGAAGAGGGGGAGCGGGGGGGGGCACGCTGACCGAAGTGGATTGTGCGGCGACTGCGGGCATTGCAACGGCTGGGATGCTCCCTAGACCCATGAAGCTGATTGACTACAGCCACCTGCTGATGCCGCCATTTGCAATGCGTCTTCAGATGAAATCTCGTTTGGTCCACACAGCCCCAACTACTCAACAGAACCAATAACACCCCTGTTTTGAACGATCCATCCTCACCAAGACATGTCAATACGTCATGGTTTGTGTTCCTCGTGCGTGGTGTCGACATGTGTTACTGGTGCATGATGTTGATGTGTCCGTTCTTCACATGTATTTTGTGTATGATATAAGTATATGGTGTTTGTAATCGTGTGCATCGTGAATGAATGTCAGTGCTGTATCCGTCTGCTGTGCGATTGAAATACATGTTTGATTCACATCAGCGGTACCTGTCTTGGTATGCGGCATTTGCGTACGCATCCGGTCTAAGTGTCAATGCTATGGTACAGGCGTAAGTTGCAGCAGGATGCGATCGGCTACTCAGACTCATTGTGCGTGATCGTGGAGTGGATTACTGGTGCAAGTCCTTGCTGCACGGTGTTGGTACGTGGCTTCAATGTATGTTGGCGGAGTATGGTACTGGGAGGCGTGCGGTGGTCATGTTTGCGGCGCGCGTCGTTGGTGCACCGCAAACATGACCAGGTGCCATGAACAGGAGGAGGAGGAGGAGGAGGAGGAGGAGGTGCACCTTCCTTGCGCGTGCCCCTTGTGCCTGTCTTGGACATCAAGTGGTCGGCGTGGCCTGGCGACGCCGCGAGGCCTGGACGGCGTGGCGCCTCCCTCGCGGGGCCAGGTTCCTATACGCACGTGCTTCCTATGCGTGGGAATCTCGTCATCGCACCCTCGGGGGGTCTTTCCTCCTCCTTTTCTTCCACCTCCTCCCCTTCCTCCTCCTCCTCCTCCTCCTCCTCCTCCTCCTTCTCCTCCTTTTTGCACGCTACACCGACCTTAGGTTACCCTGTTGCGTTAACGAAAAAAGTGTCCACGACTCGACTCAAGCAACCACAAAAAAAAGACCTGGCGGGCGCCGCGGGCCACGCGGGAAAACGAGCCATGGAAAAGAGTAGACAATTGAGTAGGCGCCCGCCAGGTCCGTAAATAACTGCAGCTCTGGCACCTTCGTAGCATCATCCCTCCCCCACCCAACCCAGTGAGTAAATCCCAACCCTCCATTATAGGTTCCTGCTGCGGAGCTAATGAGCTGTCGTAAGTAAGTCGTAAGTAAATTAAGAGCGATGGCGAATATTTGATCAGAGTCACGTCTGCAAGGTGTAAACGCAGACGAGAGTGGAGCCCGGGGAGGTCGAGGCAATGCCTAGCGCTGCGGAAGTTTACTGGGCAGCGCGTGGTCAGCAGTCCACAATGGGAATGGCAAGTCATTTCCCGAACGACGTGCCAACATGGCAGCTCACTGTAGCCAATATTTTGCCAGCTGGAAGAGGAAAACATAGTCCGGTCAGCTAGGCACGAAAGTCCCCCGCCACCATAGCTGATACCACCACCTAGGTACCCCCCCGCCGCTGTTTTTTCAGGTTGGCGTGCGAGGTTGGCCTGTCCTGCGAGAGATCGGCAGTGCAAAGTATCCTGCCAACACAGGCTGTATGACAATTGCTGCGCTTGCGGCGCATCTCCTGCTGTGAGCGAAAGCAACAGTTGGAAGCCTTTTGCACGTTGCAACAAAAAGAAATGAGCAAAGTATACAACTTGCTTCACGGGCGCGTGCCATCGCCAGGCTGGCCTGCGAGGCTGGCCTGCGAGGCTGGCTTTTTGTTTCAAAACTGTAGATACTCAATGTCCACTCGGAAAAAAGACTGCTGCTTGTACGCTGAGGTGAGAGCAGGTGCACTGATAAGCCTAGAGATACAAGCTTGTAAGTCCTCCGCTTCCACCACCAGCGTATAGACCCCAACCTCCGGAGTCACTTAATCTGTCTTGCAGCGCAGAACGTTAAATCATGACAGTTCTAGGGTTGCCGCCCAGGGTTTTTTGGGATTCGCCCCAAAGCGCATCGGCACAGGGACCCTCGCGTTTTGTTGTGCGATTATTTTCGGGTTCAGCACAAATCCAACAATCAGCAAGACAGACTGGTTAGGTGTCGTAGGCTGGCCCTTTAAGGCTGGCCTTTGGGGTGACGAGCCCCATCTGCGGTTGGGCGTTGCTAAGACGTCAGACGTGGGCAGACTGCTCGCGTAGAGTCTGATTCAGCATGTCTGACTGAAATAATAAAACAGTACTGCTGCGGAGCTTTTAGTACACTGGGGTTGGGTGGGAGCCTACAGCTACCGATGTGTACTCATTGGTCCAAGTAGGATCTGAAAGTGGCGCATTGTCGCCAAAGTGCTGCTGCCTAGCTGTGTCCGAGGCTGCATGTGAAGTGTGGCGTAGTGTCACCAAAATACAAGCCTTGAGTGCCTAGCTGTAGATATAAGCAGCAGTACACTAAGCCTTGAAGGATGCTGTGCAAAGGGCTGCTCCCCAAGGACTTTAGGATCACCCCGAACCTGCAAAAGAAGAGTACCACCATGCGTGTCGATCCGCGTCCACCACCGCCTCCTCTCCCAACCACATATCCTCCCCCACGCATAGAACAGGTGCGTACTAGGCCGACTGCAGGAGGTAAAAAAGGCGACGGTAAGAGGCAAAAGGTGCAGGGGGGGACTAGTGCTATAAGAAAGCAATCCTACGGCTGCTGCCCAGGGCTTTGTAGGGTAACCCCAAACCTACGAGGCAAGGAGCACCACTGAAGTGTCGAGTGCATTGCAAGTCAGATGGCGGGAGGAATAGGGAGTGAGTGCACGAAAGAAATAAGCAATCCCAGGGCTGCTTCCCAGGGCTTCATAGGTGAACCCCAAACCTACAAGTATGGAGTACCAGTGACGCGTCAAAAAAGCCGCGAGGGAGACGGAGGAGGAGCGCATTGCAAGTCAACGGTCTACGAGGAGGGCGCGCCATTGGGGGACAGGCGTGACCGATGTCGCAATCGCAGGCGCGGTCGAGCCGCTGGCCGCTCACGCCGGGGGCTCTGCGCCCATGGGCAGCGAGGGGCGCCCGGAGGGGTCGGGCGAGATCGGGGCTGGACCGATGTGGGGTGGGCTCGACTGCCAGCGCCGCAGGCCAGCCACGAAAGGGGGGAGGGGCCGTGCCTGCAGTCAGGAGGCGCGGGCCCGAAGTGGCGGAAGATGCACGTCCTCCGCCCCGCGCGCCAGACGGCGCGGCGGCCTGCAGGCGGCCTGGATTAAAACCATACCTGCGGGGAGGAACTATCATACCATCGACGTCCTGTGTCCGGCCAGATCGCTCCGTCCCCCCCCCCCAAACTGGCCTGCGCGCGAAGGCCTGGCCTCGCTGGAGCGTGCACTGCAGGAGCGCACGCCATGTGGGTAGGGAGGACACGCCGCTCCTGGAGCGCCCGCGCCCACTGCGAGTGAAAGATGTGCCGCGAGAACGGGCTTTTCTATCGCATCGAAGCCTATCCCTGGGCCTGTGTAAGCAATGTACTGCCGCTTAGCAATTTGGGGCTCTACATGGGCGGAGCACGAAGAGAAGAAGATGAGACGAGGCGAAGTACGGGGATACTACGAGACTGATATGCTGGCCGGCGGTCCCCTCCATCGCCACGCCCCCCCCCCCCTCCCAATGTCCTGCGCGCGAAAGCCGGGCCTCGCTGGCGCGTGCACTGCAGGATCGTACGCAGTACGGGCGGCGAGGACTTGCCACTCCTGGAGCGCCCGCGCCCAGTGCAAGTAAAACACGTGCCGCGCTGACGACTTGGGATGCTGCCTCTGGGCCTGTCTAAGCAGCGGACTGATGCCTGGCATGTTGGCGCTCTGAGTGCGCGCAGCCCCTCATGGAGGAGCACGAGGAGGAGAAGATGAGATGAGGGAGAGATCATGTGGGGGCGCGAGAAGGGGCGATGGCGAGAGGGGCGATGCCGAAAGAGATGCCGATGCTTCTGACTCTGGGCGTAATCGAAGCCTTAATCCACTCAGACTGTGCGGGTTGGACGCCTAGCGGTGAAACGCAACGCGCAGACTGCTCATCAGGGCCCAGCGGGGCGGAGGCAGAGGAAGTGGCGAAGGGCGCGAGTCCACCGACCCATGCCTAGCAGGACAGCGGCAGCAAAGACAAGAAGAAAATAATGGGGAAAGAGAGGGGGAATATGGAGTCGACCGCCACCGGGCGATGGCAAGCGAGCAGCAAAGTATATAGAGAATGGCCGCTGCTGCTGGGGGCGCGCCATTTCTGCAGGCTCTTGCGGAAACCCTGAACACACGCGGTGAAAGGCCGCAAGTATGCATATGTGTGCGAGTCTCGCCGCGGCATCCCAAAACGACGCTCTCTCTCTCTCTCTCTCTCTCTCACACACACACACGCGGCCCCCCCCTAGCATCCCTGTGAGGGCGCCCTGGCTCAGAGCCACAACTCGCCGCCCCAGCCGCCCCGGGCGGCCCGCGCCGCCTTCGCGCCCCTTTTTGGGGATGCTGTTGCCGTTCGGGCACAGCTTCTTCAGGCCGGGCACGGAGGGCAGCGCTCCCGCCAGGGCCTGCGCGCCCTCGTCGCCGATGCTGCTGCTGTCCAGGACGAGCGTCTTCAGGCTGGTCATGGAGGGCAGAGCCTCCGCCAAGGCCTTCGCGCCCGCGAGGCCGATCTGGCAGGACTGCAGGCCCAGCTCCTCCCGGCGGGCGCAGGGCTGCAGGCAGCCGGAGAGCCTCGCGGACTGCTCGGGGGCCGTGGGCGGCACCCCAACGAAGTCCAGCTCCGTCACGCCGCCCAGCTGCGCGCGGCTCCACCGGCGGAAGAGCGCCCTCACCGCCTGGTCCGCGTCGCTGGTGAAAGACCTGTCCTCGATGAGCCCGGGGAAAAGCCCCAACGCAACGCGCAACCCCCTCTCTCCCCGCGTACCTGCCGCGGGGTGCGCTCGGGGGTCGCGCGTCGCCTCGCCCCGTGACTTCGCACGATTCGTCCCTCGTCGATGCTACCCCTCGGGCCCGTCGGCCACCCCGTACCTGCCTTCGTCGCCCCCGCCCCGCGCCCAAGGTCGACCACGGCGCTCCACCTCGCCTCCCGGCGGCAGACCTGTTTGCTCTGCTCCGCGGAGCAGCGCTCGTGCGTCGTCCAGCCCGACCGGTCGCACAGCCGCACTCGCGCGTGCTGCCCCGCTCGCAGGGGTGCTGGGTGAGCAGAAGGACGGTGGTGGCCTCATGGGCGTACCAGGGGTCCATCGTCTCCTCCAGCCCGTGCCTGAAGACGGCCTTCTCGGCGGGGGTCCGCTTCGCCTTGTCCGCGGTCTCCTGCGCGCCCTCCTCGCTCTTGCCCTGCCGCAGGGCGGCGGCCTTCGCCTCCTTGTCCTTGACGGGTTCGCCCTGCGGCAGCGAGGGCCAGTCCCGAAAGACTCCCATCTCGCTGAACCACTTCAAATCGCCGTTGGCTGTGGAGTAATTGCGGCGCTCCTTCTCTAGGGTGTCAGCCACCAAGTTCAGCTGCAACCCCTTGGGGTCGGGATGTTCGCGCGAGTCCCAGCAGAACGAGATGGTGATGATCGGCGCCACCTGGTCTTTCCCTCCTCGCCCGCCAGCCTCCCAGACGGCCCGCAGCTCCTCCGCGGACACGATGGCCTTCTCCAGCAGCTCCTGGCGCCCCTTCGGGGCCGTGCCGCGCTGCTGCAGCAGCCACGACGTGCGGACCAGGCGCACGGGGTGGAGGCCCTCCGCGGTGAACGCGAGCGCGTCGAAGAGGCTCGCGGCGCCCGTGCACCGCGCCAGGTCGAACGTCTCCTGCTCCTCCTTCTTGGGGGACCTCCTCCACGGGCGCCTCCGTCGACTGGGGCGCGTCGCGCTCCCGCGGCGGCTGCTCCCCGGGCACCTCCGGCCACCGGGGCAGGGCGCCGCCCTCCCGGGCGCCGCCGCCGGACGGCACGGAGCATGGCAAGAAGCCGACAGTGGCGGAAGCGGAGCGCGGAGCGAGCGGTGAGAAGCAGCACCCTGGAGCAGACGGCGGCCCCCAGTGCCCACAGGTGGGGACGGGGCAGGCCGACTGCCCGCGGAGTCCTCCTGGGTGGCCAGGGGCACGGTCCAGGCCGCCAGCGCAGCTGGCCAGGCAGACCTGTGCCCAGGGCTGCCACGCCCCGTCGTCCAAATCCCTGCCGTCCACATCCCTGCCGTCCCACCAGGGGCGCTGCTTGGGTTCGTCCTGCGGGGCCATCGTCACGATGGCAGCCGCACGTTCGGAAGGCGGCGCGCTGCGCCGCGGGATGATCCGATTGTCTCGTCTTGAGCCACAATGGCTTGAGCCAGATGGCTCCTCCTCCTCCTCCTCCTCCTCCTCCTCCTCCTCCTCCTCCTCCTCCTCCTCCTCCTCTCCTCCCTCCTCCTCCTCCTCCTCCTCCTCCTCCTCCTCCTCCTCCTCCTCCTCCTCCTCCTCCTCCTCCTCCTCCTCCTCCTCCTCCTCCTCCTCCTCCTCCTCCTCCTCCTCCTCCTCCTCCTCCTCCCTCCTCCTCCTCCTCCTCCTCCTCCTCCTCCTCCTCCTCCTCCTCCTCCTCCTCCTCCTCCTCCTCCTCCTCCTCCTCCTCCTCCTCCTCCTCCTCCTCCTCCTCCTCCTCCTCCTCCTCCTCCTCCTCCTCCTCCTCCTACTCCAACTCCTACTCCTAGTCCTCCTGCTCCTCCTCAAACCCTCGGAAAACCTCCGAGGCCTGGCGGTCGCGGTACGCAGGGCGGGCGAGGCGGGAGACCCAGGGATCCCGGCATTCCTGGGTCCTGGCGGCCGCGGTGCAGTCCACGCGCTGCCACAGGGAACGCCGAGTGAGGAACGACGGCGGTCGCGAGGAGGTCCCCCGCCCTAGATCTCGGGAACGGCCCGGACACCGCAGCCCCTCCTGAGCCCCGAGTGGTCCTTCTTCCAGCGACTGGAGTGCACGCAGAAGACGAAGCCAGGACAAGACAAGACGAGACAAGAGCCCGCGTCGAGGCACCTACGAGGGTGCGGCGGGAGGGCGCCGGGGCGCCGGGTTAGGCTGGCCGCTCAGAAGCCGGGGTCGGGAAATGGCAGCCGGGTCGGACAGATGGGAGTGGGTGCTGGAGCCGCAGTCGGAGAAGAAGAACCACACGTACCGCCACAGCCGGATACATTTGACAAAGACGAAGCCAGGAAGAGAGCAAAACATCGGGGGAGGACACATCGAGGATCTCGGAGATCCGGCGGCTCGGGAGGAGGTCTCGGGCGCCGCGGCCTTCTCAGAGCGTTCCGGAACGCTCGTTGAGAGTGCTCTTGAACGCTCTGGAGCGGAGTTATCCTCCTCCCAGCCCCGTCCGAGTGCAGGGCGGGCGAGGCGGGACACTCAGGGACGACCCGCATTCTTGAAGCCCGCGGCCGCGGCATACAGGGCGGGCAAGGCGGGGCACCCAGAAGACACCAGGATGCTCGGGGCCTGATGGCCGAGTCGCATGCAGGGCGTAGAGGCCGTCTAGATGGGGTCCGAGCAAGTGGGGTCGGAGGATCGCGCCGCATCGCCGATGCATCGCCGATGCCTCGACAACGTCGGCGTGGGGAAGCCCGGGCCCCACACCGAGCTGCCTCCTCCTCCTCCTCCTCCTCCTCCTCCTCCCCCTCCTCCTCCTCCTCCTCCCCCCTCCTCTCCTCCTCCTCCCCCTCCTCCTCCTCCTCCTCCTCCTCCTCCTCCTCCTCCTCCTCCTCCTCCTCCTCCTCCTCCTCCCCCTCCTCGGCGATGCGGCGCGATGCTCCGGCCCCGGCCGCTCCGAGGCCATCTTGGGAGGCCCAGAGAGCGGGGCTTCAGGCGGGGGGCGAGGAGCCCTCCTCGTCAGCTCTCGCGGCCGCCACCTGCACGGCCCGACCCTGGACAGAAGAACGGCCTTCAGAGGAGGAGGAGGAGGAGGAGGAGGAGGAGGAGGAGGAGGAGGAGGAGGAGGAGGAGGAGGAGGAGGAGGGGGGACGAGAGAGGAGGAGGAGGAGGAGGAGGAGGAGGAGGACGAGAGAGGAGGACGAGAGAGGAGGACGAGAGAGGAGGAGGAGGAGGAGGAGGAGGAGGAGGAGACTCGATTTTTCGAGCAGGGCGCTTTTGCCCGGTTTCGGGCCACGGGCTCCTCCCAGATCGACCGGGCTCGAGGAATGGCGCAGAGATGAGGGGCTTCGGGCTCCGGTCCAAAGTGTTCAAAGATGTCTCCATTATTTCGCGACGTCGGATCTCAGGGGACCCTCCGCCAGCCAAAACACCCCAAGCCACAAGATCACCGAGGGTACCCTCCCCCAGGATGTACAAGAACAGCCAGCAAGCACGAAGAACATCAAGGTGCCCTCCCCGAACCAACCTCGATCTTATACCTCGGTCCAAGCGTGGGATGTGTAATCAGCCAAGGCAAATACAATGGGCACGGCAGATTCAGCAACGTGAAAGCAACAGCGCGGGCAATCGCGGCAGCCACTACAATCATGTCGTCAAAACGAAAACAAGGACCTCACCACCACACGAGAACAATGGTTGGACAAGATGGAAGGCAACCAACGGGACCCATTGAGCGGATACAAGATATTCCATATGCGCAGCGTCGTCTAAACTGCGAACCCTTAGAATCTCCTCGAATCGCCTCCACCAAGAACAGAAGACATCGCCCTGCACAAGAGACTGCCTGCGCGCCCTGCGCAAGGAATATTCCTGGGTGAACAGATCACGAGCCCTTGCTATGAAAGGCCGGTGACGTGACCCGTGCACCTAGGAACGGGGGAGGCGCAGCAGCAGGAGCGACCTGTGTACCCAGGAATGGCGCTCGACGTGTGGTCTCGGAATCCTGGCTGCCTCGTGAGCAGGAGCGAGTCACTGCGCGACTGCTGCATGGCAGCGGCCGCGCCCACGTCGCGAGGCGCGCGTGCACCGGAACATGCGCACCACTGGCTTGCGGGGGCGAGAGAGAGGGAGGTGGTCAGCAAAACAACGGCGCAGACGTGCATCACGCGCATCCCGACGCGATCCGTCCATGTGCGCCCGCCTCCCCATGCCGACCTGCGCGTCCCGCCCAGGCCTCGAGGAAACGAATCGCAGCACTGCAGGGGACGGGCAGCCACATCTTCGTGGCCACTCGGCATCTCTTACTGCGGGCTCTGCCACCTTCTTCCTCGAAGGCAGACGCAAGTTTTTCCCGAGACATGGCGACGCCCCCGGACCCCGAACTTCGATGTCGACGCCGACACTGGCGACTTCGATCTTCTTGTTGACCCCGCGGGCCGCGCTGCGTGCGTCCATCAACATTGGAATTCGGGGCGAGGGGGTCCGATAAAAACTTGCGTTTGGTTTCGAGGAGGGCTGTAACTCATTGGCTGGGCCATCTGGAGCTGGTGCGATCCCCTTGACAACCCGACCCGGTCTTGCTTAATCTAAAGAACAGGAAAGTTCGGCAGCCATCAGCCACGCCAACTGCGAGAAACATGCACGTATGAATGCCCTGCCCACTCGATTAGCACACTGACGATAAGGAAAAGGATGCGGGGTTGGGCTCACCAGCGTCCGATACGCGCCAGTAGCCGCACACGTTGGATACAAGTTTGGCCCGATGCCGTGTGAGCCCCAATAGCCTACATAATTCCGACAACGTTCTCGTTAGGTTTAGCTCAAGCTACACGTTTGGACTATAGATTTGGCGCTCGCAATTGTTTGGTTTCACGTTAGGGTTTGACTTTTGAATGTGTACGCATAGGACCATCCTTCGGATGATAGGAAGGTTGGGATGCATGAGTGCAGCATCTGGTTTGCGATTGCCGTCGAACTGGATTCGCGAACTGTCGATCAACGATCTCGATGTATGCATCTGAATGTATGCATGCATAGCTCGATCCCCCTGAATCCCCACACAATGTTTGCACTTCGGGACTCTTACTTCTCTTCGAAGCTAGTCTGGCGGTTCCGTGCTCGCCGTCGCCGCCCCATCGACGCCTGGTCGCCGCCCGTCGTCTGGGCCTGATTGAAGGTCTGGCGGCTCCGTGCTCGCCGTCGCCGCCCCGTCGCCACCCCGTCGCTCCTCCGTCGCCGCCCCGACTTGCGCAGCCAGCTGGGACATGCCCGAGCCGTGCAAAACGAACCACTGCATTGCCGATTTGCGTAGCTAGCTGGGCGGGGGCCGAGCCGCGCAAAATGTACCACTCAAGGTCCGAACTGCGCGGGCAGCTGCGCGGGAGCTCCGCCGCACAAAACGAACCACTAGAGGGCACAGTTGCGCAGCTAGCTGAGCGGGCCGCGCAGAACGGATCACGCACGGTCCGATTTGCGCAACTAACTCGGCGGGGGTGGCGCCGCGCAGGAACGGCTGCGAAAGGGTGGATACGCGCAACTAGCTGGGCGGAAGCTGGCACAACGGACCACTGACGGTCCGATTTGCGCAGCTAGCTGGGCGGGGGCCGAGCCGCGCAAACCGGACCATTCAAGGTCTGATTTGCGCAGGTAGCCGGGAAGGGGCCGCGTCCCGCGCTGCGCAAAACGGCCCACTTAAGGGCACGGGTTGCGCAGCTAGCTGGGCGGGGGCCGAGCTGCGCGAAGCGGACCGCTGGAGGGCCCAGCCGAACGGGCGGCTGAGCCGCGCAGAATGGACCGCTCAAGGTCCGATTTGCGCAACTAGCTGGGCAGGGGCGGAACCGCGAAGAACGGACCACCGACGACCCGATTTGCGCCGCTGGCTGGGCGGGGGCCGAGCCGCGCAGAACGAAGCACCAAGTGCAAAATTTGCGCCGCTGGCTGGGCGGGGGCCGAGGCGCGCCAGACGGACCACTGACGGTC